TGAGTGTGCCAAGGTTCTACCAGGGAAGCAGGGAGCGACAGTACTCTGCAGCTGTCCCGGGGGAGGGCTCCAAACAGGCTGCAGTAGCCTGAAGCCAGGCTGTCACTGGCTGGTTCTCAGGGGACCCATCGTACTGGGCCTGCAAACACCCCAGACCCAGTGTCAAGCTGGGTGCTGTGTAACCTCGCCTGCCCAGGCTCCTCTCAGGGTGGGTGCTCAGCTCGGGGGCTCTGCACAGTGTCCCGGTGAACCTGAAAGGTCCTCCGTCCTGGTTAGCTGCTCTCTTTGAGGGGACACCTGTCGTGATCCTCAGAACCTCTCCCCCTGAACGGACACGTTGAAGACAGAGGCTCCTGTCACCTCAGTGAGGCAGTGGGCAGGAAGCTGTACTTTAACAGCTGGCCACAGGGCCTGGCACAGGCACTGCTGGCCTCAGGCTACCAAGATCACAGTGTGATCAGAGCAGTTCCCCCGAGCACACAGGATGAGCAGGTGCTCTCCGGCACCCCTGGACGTCATTACTGCTGCATGGAGATGGCCCTTGCTATGCTGCAGCTGACATCCTGCATCCCAGGGGACTCCAGCCCAGTCGGCTCGCCCGGTGGCAGCCAGTGTACTTGCTCTGTTACTCTGGGGTCCCGCATTGGGGCTTCGAGATTTCTCCCCTCCGTTCACGAACGTTAACTGAGTAGATGAACAGGCAGGGACTTCTCCTCATGAGTTGACTGTGGATGTAACCTGGGCCACCAAGACAATGTGCAGAGGTGGTCAGCCTGCACCCAGGGAACCCTGACCGGAGGGCTGGGGTGCGCCACCCGGGGAGGGGGACAGGAATCCTGTATCTTTCCACTCTTCTCTCTCTGCCCAGGGCTCCATGAACCCTGAACAGTTGCCATGGAAACCAGAGGTGCCCCTGAGAGAGCTGGCACAGTTGCTGAGCTCCCCCCCGCCCCACCCTGCGGACCCTGCGGACCCTGCACATGCCTGCAGGGCTCTGGAGGCCCCAGAGGTTGGGGGGGGGGGGGTAGGGTCTCTCCTGAGCCGCTTACAGAGGCTAAGGCAGAACTCCAGAAAACAGCCTTGGCCATGAGCTGGGGGCGGAGACCAGCTTTGGGACAGTCCCACGGCCCAGGCCCAGAGGCACCTCCCTGGACAGTGGTCTCCTGCCTGTCTGGGGGGCGCTGCCTGCTGGACGCTGGGTGCTCCACCAGCAGCACCTTGCCTTGTGGCCAGCAGTCACACTTCCTGGGCCTCCCACGGCCACCCCTGCACATCCTGCTGGCCTCTTAACCCTTCCCGCTCAGAGCGCCTGCTCTGCCCGCTGAGTTAGGGGCAGCACTGGCCTGGACTGGGGTGGCGGGGCAGTTCCAGGGTAAGTTGAGGCTGCAGATGGTGCTGCCCCCGCAGGGCTGGCATCATGGGGTGTGAGTTACCGGCAGGAGCAACAGCAGCTCAGGGAGGGGCCAGAGGGAGCTCAGCAACACTGATTAAAGAATGACTTCTAGCAGGACAGGACTTTGGAGCAGGGTGAGAGTGACATTCTTATTTTTAAACTGCAGCACCTCTTCCTGGCTGGAAAGCAATGCAGCTAAAAGCCTGTGGGCCACCAGGCTTCCCACTGTCCTGCTGCCAGGGTCCCGACTGGCCAAGCAGGGCAGTCCAGGAGCCAGCTGGAACCTGCATCCACACTGCCTTGAGGGAAGGGGGAACACTGTCCCTAACACCTATCCCAATCCCCCAGGTGCAACTTGTGTGTGTCAGGGAGCTGCAGTGTGGCTCCTGGAAGTGCCCAGGGGACACTGAGGAAGCCCCACCCCTGAAAGGGACACCTCTCCAGGTGTGTCAGGGTTCCTCCCTCCAGGTGACACTGAGGGTGTGGGAAGAACCCCCACCCTTAATCACGGGGAGAGGCCTTTGCCAGGGGCACACGAGGGAGCCGCAGGTTCACGGGGGTGTGGGGGGCGGAACCGCCGGGAGTGCGGGGCAGTCCTAGGACCGCCCGCGACAAGAGCACAAACCCCCGGGGCGCGCGTCCCGAACCGGCAGGTCCCCTCCCCCGCCCGGACCCCTCCCGCCCTCGCCCGCACACCTGTCCGCGCCCAAGGTGCCGGTGCGCCTGGATGCCGCCTGCCGGACCCTGACACTGGGCGGGAGGGGCAGGGGAGGGAGCTGGGGACCACGAGGGACCGCGAGGGACCAGAGGTGAGGGGAGGGGAGGGGCCGGAGGGCGGGGTCGGGGAGGGGAGGGGGCGAGGCCGGGGAGCAGGGCGGGTCCGGAGGGCGGGGAGGCGTCCGGTGCGCGCACGGGGCCGGGCTCCCTGGGCGGGCAGGTGGGCTAATGCTGAGGGGGCACAAGGCTCAGACCGAGCGGCACAGCTGGACGGCTGGACGTGGGGTCTGCCGGCTCCGTGCCCTGGCCGCCTGTGGAATGGGTTCCCATGCTCTCCAGGGCCTCCCCTCGGGGCTGGCCAGGAGGGCGTTGCGACTACTTGAAGACCCTCGCCAGCTCCCCACACCCCTTCCCTGCTGCTTCCAGAGAAGTCGCGAACCTTCCACCTCAATGCTCTCACGCCAGCGAGGGGTCCTAGAAGAGCTGGGCCCTCAGGGCTGCTCCCACCCAGGTCCGCGGTTTGCACCTGCAGAGAGATGCCAGCGCCGGCTGCCAGAAGTGCGCAGAGCCTCACGGTATTCACGGGAAGAGCTCGGGGCCACCGGGGTCTCGAATGGCACGCTGCGCTTTGGTGCAGAGCATCTCACTGTGCAACTCAAGTTGTTTACAAGAAAACAAAAAAGAACCCCACCAGTGACCCCCGTGTCTGTCATGGCTCAGAGGAAGTAGTCCATGAACTGGAATCTAAGAGTGAAGTTTTGGAAGCTTGGACCCGGATAGAAAGTCCTGAGCTCCAGGCGGGAGACAGCACCTCTCCCCCGTGGGCAGAAGCAGGAAGCCGGGAGCTGTTTGAATAAACCAGAACAGCTCTGCCAAGAAGGAAGTAAACACCAACCCAGCAGGTGGTGGAGTGTTGTGGGGGCACGTCTCCAGGTGTGCCAGCTGTGCGTGAGGTGCAGGGCTAGACAGGACAGACACCCCCCTGGGATGGGGCACTTTTATAGAACACCACCTTATTTCTCAGTACCAAAGCCCCTCTGATAGCCCTTCTCTCAGGCATATTGAATTCCACTTAACGGAGCAATAAAAGCCCATGGGGGCAGCTTGCAGGGTCCTCCTCAGGCCCTTCAATCGGCTAGTGCTGCATGGCCAGTGGCCCCACCATGCAGGCTGTGCCAGGCTGAATGTGCAAGGAGCCCCTGTGTCCTGCACCCTGCTTTGCAGCTCCCACTTAGACCAGGGCTGCACAGTGACCCACTGGGAACAGAGGAGCCCAGAGCAGACCAGAGCCCTGAGCTCCCCAGGAGAGCTTTCTGCTTTGGGACCTGGTGACCCAAGCAGTGCAAGTGGGGAACCCCCAAATTTCTGCCTCTTCAGAAAATGTCTGGCTGAGTCTAAAGATGAGGTCGTTCAAGACCTCCTTTAATTCAGGCAAGAGCAAAGCCCAGCTCAGCCTGTCACCCCACTGCCCCGCAGCCCTGCTGGTGTCTGGATGTTAGTGGACTAGACAGCTGGAGGGACCTGCTCTGGTCTTGCAGCTGCTTGGGTTAGCCGACCTTGGAACCCACTCCAACCTGCATCTGCAGCTTTTTAAAACTTTAAATTACTTGCTTTGGCTACTTTGCCATGGAGCTGCCTAGCCCCTCCTTTTTTTTAAAGGTGAAGATAACATTAAAAAAGTTTATCATAGTAAAAGTTGATTTCAGGTCAAGTTTATCATACAAACACTGTTGATGGGCCAGACCTAAAGCAGAGCACACACTCCGACCTGCGGGGTTCCCATGAGTTTCTGAGATGAAACTGCTGAGGCTGGCCTCGAGCCTCCCGCTTCTACCTCCCCACTGGGGGGACGACTGGCGCGTGGTGACGCCCAGCCATCTACAAGTTCTGAGTTACAAAAGACCTTTGACAGACACAGGCAGGATGGGCCCAGGATGGAGGCCAGCCCTCCTGCTCCTTCTGTCCCTGGGTGGTGCTTACTGGGCGGGAGCCCATGTGTGGGCTGGAGGGTGTGCTCTGCAGGGCCACCTTTGGGCCAGCCTCTCCCAGGAAGCCAACCTTCCTTGGCTGGCCTGTTCTCTACTCTCCCCTAGTCCCAGGAAAGTACAGCTGTCCTTGCCAGAGGGGAGACTGCCTGTGAGGTGGAGGTTGCAGGACTGCACATGCAAAGGCCCTGGAGCCTCCACACTGGCAGCCCCTGAGTGGCCAGGAGAAGGTCTACGGCGGCAGGCCAAGGAATGTTCCAGATGCGGTCACCATTGCAATGAGTGAAAAGGCAGCTGGACTCGTGGCCCTCCAGGGCCAGACAGCCCCAGGTCTAGAAGTCCACCCAGGGAGCCAGAGGCCTGACTGGGCCTCCAGGACGTCTGTTCGCAGTGGAGCCCTGGCAGGAGGTTCGGGGCAGGGGGCTCCACACCTGGTGGAGGTGAGGATGCTCTCGGGTGAACGGGGTGCCCAGACCTGGAGGGGTCTGCTCTGCACCTGAAGAGTTCTGCAGGCTGCAGAGTACTCAAGGGTTGGGGAGTCCAGGGTTTGGAGAAGAGTCGCAGGGTCGAGGGCCATGGCACAGGCGGGGGTTGGTGAGCGCATGGTGAGAATGACCCACTAGCTTGAGAAATCCCGACCCTGGGTTCTGGGTAAGCCCCTTGTGTCCTCCAGGCCTGGGAACAGAGCTGTCACACTAGCTTTACATGCTAGCCATGGAGGTGGCCCCGGAGGGGATCAGCATCAGAAGAGGTGCAGACACCCCACAATACACAGGCGCGTGCCGGGCAGCAGGGGCAGGGCTGACTGCAGTCTGCTTCTGCCTCACCCTGCGCAGATGCCACCCGAGAGTGCCTCCCCCAGCTTCCCTCACAGGACACCTAAGGACAACTCACGGGACTCTGTGTATTTGTAAGGAGATGGAAGCAGATTTTTTTGGTATTTATTGTGAGCAAATTCATGTCTTCTGCTTGGATAATCTACAGAAAAATCCAATATAATTAAGATCATCAAGTTGTACTTTTGCTACAGAAATAAAAGTTAAAAACAGTAGCATACAAAATAAACTTTACAGAAATGTCTGATTTGGTTTAAATCACAATTTAATTTTTCAAAGCAAGTTAACGAATTATCAGCTGAATGTTACTGTTTGGAGGATGATATATGTTAAATGTACCTACCACATTTGATAATTTAAAAAATAAATTCCAGTGTTTATGATGATGACAGCTATAGATACCGTTCACATTAAATACATTTTTGAAGATTCTCTCTTATTACATTACATAGTGAATGGGCATTTTAAATGGTAATGCAGACATGTTATTTTAAGTCAGAGACAATATAGGCATATTAAAATTCTGAGTATCCTGATAAAGTAAAAAATAAAGCTATATAAATTGATCTTAAGATTTTTCTGCAAAAGTAGAATCACTTTCATAATACTTCCAACATACCTTCATTAAAGCTTTGTTTACACAGCATTAGAATGAGTTTCATTCCCACTCACCTGCCTCTGGTTAAAAAAAAAAAAAGATTGCATTCGCCAACTGATATTTTTCCTGTTTTTAAAGTAACAAATGGGCAATCTCCAAAAGAAATGTAGAACGCGAGGACCTGTAGTTATACTGTGTTGTCAATAAATAACATCGAGGTGGAACAAGAGTGGTTGTTAGTTCAGTGCCGGCCGGTGCAGAGCACACGGACCTGGCGGTTCCAGGACCCAGGGGCGCGCTTCCTCTGGACCCGACGCTGGCTGGTGCTTGGCAACTGGAGCAGCTCCCTCACCCCCACCCCGGAGTTCTCCAGGCAAAGCTGCAAAATGCTCAGAGGCCCACTGAGAGCACCTGCCGTGGGTGCCCAGGGTCCACTCTTTCCAGTTCAGCATCCAGGCCTCCTGGCCAGCGTAGGTGTCCTGGGCATGGCCTTTGGTCTGCTTGTGCTCGGAATGGGTGGGCGGGACTTTGTGGAAGAAGGCGCTGGTGTGCTCAGAAGCACAGGGGCGTGTGTGCAGTTCCCGTGGACCTGGGCCCTGTTGCTCCACCGTGACTTGGGGCTGGACCTCCCTGGGAGGCGACTGCATCCTAGTCCAGGCGGGGAGTCGTCCGCAGGCCCGTGTACCTGCAGGGCAGCCTCATTTTTGCAGAGTGAGCTGTGCGCACGTGAGAGCTCGTCTTCCCAGCCAGGCCACAGCCCCTCATGGGAGCCTCAGAAGGGGGCAGGGTGCCCAGGACGAGAGAGCAGTGTGGGTGTGCACACACACGTGTGAGCTCACACATAGGCATGGGACGGGAGAGAATGCGCGTCGCCAGACGGCTGGCAGGAGCTGACGTGCTGTGTGCAGACGGGGTGTGCATGACCGGTCATCCTCACAGGTGATGATTCCTTCCTTCACATGGCAGGAGATTTTCAAAGCTACGAAAAATGCTCACTGCTGGCGTTCCTGCTTTAAAGTTACTGTGGCGGGAAACGGAGCCGAGCGCAGGGCCCCTTCGTGGGTCTCCTCCTCCGTTTCAGCCTGTGCCTGTTTCCATCACTAGACACATCCCTTTAGTAACCTCCCGGGAGTAAGACGACGCTGCGAGGGTCTCACACCCAGACCCGAGGCTCCACTCAGGCAGAACAGGGTCGAGCCGACCAAACCCTCAAGCAGGAATCTCCTATTTTTAAGGCTGAGGGATGGAAATTAACAACAAAACAAAACGGAAAGCAGACGACATTGCAGAGAACCGTGAGGACAAAGAAGAGCAAATCATCGTGACCTTCACATGCCCCCGAACTCACTGCTGCCCCAGAAACACCAGGAAACAGAGACATGGAGAACCAAATCTGATCCAGAGATTCACAGTCATCAGAAATTGGAACATACAGTGGAATTCTCACCAGAACAGAAACATAAAGTGGCCACGATTCCACGAACTTAGGCATTAAAGCTCTAAAAACATACTTTAAAAGTCAGATATGTTAACAAAGGATAAAAGAGATATAAAGAGCTATGAAAATAGTTCAGCGCAAAGGCAACTTCAAGATCTCTAAAAAAATACGATACAAACAATTTGTTGATAATCGTTCGGCGAGCCTGTGCCCTGCAGGTGTCACGTCCAGACCCTCCTGGGCTCTTCAGAAGGGCTGCGACGGGCACACACCACTGTCTGCAGGTTAGTGTGGGCCCTAGCCACGGTTGGCTGCCACAGGGGTGACACGGAAGTGACTGGGGCGAGAGCAGGCCAGCGGCAAGGGGCTGGGGGGCACGACGTCCTCTGTCCTCAGCCGGGGAGGCCACCCCTCTTTGGTACAGTGTCCTGCTCTGACCTACCCATGGTGGGGCCACTGCTGTGAGACTAAGGGTTGAGCAGGTGAGACCTCACACTGCCTGGGAACCGGCACTCCCCAGACCTCTGCTCTCGAGCAGCTGGGGAACAGCATGTCCCCGTTATGGGCCACTGCATGGAGGGCACTGGCCTTCCTCCCTCAGGCTGAGGCTCCAGCCTCCAAGTGTCTCCTCTAAGACAGGTCCACCAAGGCCATCAGGTAGAGTCTCCCAGAAACAGACCACAGCCCAGGTAGCAGGAGCTCCGTAACACAGAGCCCCCATCGCCTGTCCCCTCCAACACACACCTTGGCCAGGTTCCCAGGCAGGAGGGCTGCGAAGGACAGCAGGAGCCACCTGGGGAGGCGTGGAGGGGCTGCTAAGCAGCATGCCCGCTGGGACTGACTGGCTAGGACAGGCTTCGGAGGACCACACCTCGGTACAAACGGCAGGGGTGGGTGTCTGACCGCCAGCCAGACCTCTCCCTGCCCTGCCCCGGACCACCACCTTTCCCCAGCACCCCGGAACCCCCTTCCAGGAAGGCGAACTGGCAACTCCCACGTGGGTGTGTGGCAGCCAGGGGCGCACACCACGCAGGCTCACGCCATGACAATGTCCTCCTCCAAGGGCAGCTGGTGACAGGAGAGGGGACCTGGATCCCTGCCAAGCTCCCTCCTCAGGAGACTCAGATGTAGTCAGGAACAACTGCTTCTTAAGGTAGTGGGCAACCGGCCGGGCCAGGCCGCAGGGCCGGGAGGTGGACACGCCCTCGGGGTCAGGCGGGGCGTCCAGCCTGCAGCAGCAGGGGGGAAGCGCAGAGGGGCCTGGTGCCGAGGGTGGCGTGTGTGAGCTGGACGGCTGTGGATGGGGGCTGGGCATGGAGGTACAGACTAGAGGACGGCTCTTCAGGTGACAGGACACAGAGATGGTGACGGGGTTGACACAGGCCTGGGTGAAGCCAGCCTGCAGCTGCAGTGCAGAGGAGGGGCCGAGGCGAGGTCTGCGTTCACAGTCCAGCTGGAGCTGGAGGCCATGGGCAGGGGACGAAAGACTGTGGTGTGCTTGCCCCAGAGAGTGGCCTGCGGCCAGGGCTTCGCCTCCTTGGGCACCAGGAGAGGTGCACGAGTGCACAGGCACTAGCGAGCACAGCTTGCAGCGCTGGGCCTGGGCACTGTCCACCGTGGCACGGGCTCTGAGCGGGCCCCAGCACCCACGCCTCAGGCTGGATCCACAGCAGTTGCCGGAGAGGCCCCGTGGGGGGCACAGCGCCCCGCCCCCGGGCGCACCCCGCCTGCCTTCCTAGGCAGAAGTCGCCCAGGGCAGCCAAGGGCCTGGGGCTCTGTGCACCTGCGCTCTGCAGAGAGGAGAGAGGGACGAGTCTGGAACCACCGACTCCTGTGGCTGTGAGCTCTGGCAAGACACAAAACGGGCAGTCAGTTCAGGAAGCCCGGGAGCAGCCCGTGCTGACCCGAGGCCCTGTCCCCACAGAACTGCAGCCCAGAGGTGAGGGTCCACCCACAGCAGCTGCCACAGAGGCAACGTGTCTGTCCACGTCGAGAACTACAAACCTCTGTTAGCAGGCCTCTCACATCCCAGGGAGAACCACGTGGGGGGACGCAGGACACACGGTGGTGCCTCCCAGGCCCTCATGATACGCGGTGGGAGCACAAAGGCCCCAGAGACCCTCAAACCTGGAAGTGCTCCGCCCCCCAGAGGAGGACAGGACTCCCCTGTCCAGGCCAGTATCTAGCCCGGGGGACCTGGGACGATGGCTGGCCTCCCCCACTCCCTGGCCCTCAGCCTGCTGTTACCTGATGGACGTGGCCGTGCTGCTGCGTGACCACCCACTGAGGCCCGCGGCACAGACTGCATCCACGCAGCTGGCGGGGAGGCCAACGGTACCGGTCAGTCCACACGAGGGACGATGCCCGCACAAAGCTACCTTTAGGTGGGGGCCACTGGCAAACATGGGGCTCACTGCAAACCCCGAGTCTGAAGTGCTGGACAACGTGGAATCTTTACAGCCCAAGACCAGCAGATATAGCTGCTGGACAATGGTGGTCAGCTGGGAGCCACCTGGGCTGTGTCCAGTGCGACTGAGCAATGCTCCACTTCTGATGTGGAACAGGATCTGTCCCAACTCGCGCCCGAACTGAGCTGCTTCCACCACTGACCAGGAGCCAGCTCCTGTCTGCAAACGCTGGACATGGACAGTCGACTGCTTGCATGCTGGGTGAGACTGGCCGTGAGTGTGTGTGTGTGTGTGTGTGTGTGTGTGTGTGCGCATGCACGCATGCGCCCTACCTGGTCAGCTTACTCTCAGGCATGTGCGCTCAGCTGGGTGGAAATGCACAGGTGTGTAAAGGGTGTGTTCCTTTGTATTGTGAACCTCTGTTATCAACAATGGCACAGCACGGCAAAACTTTGGAGGAAGAACAGACAGTCTGAGAGTCACAGCACACGGGCCACGCCCAGCGGGCAGCGGCCACACCGTTACCTAGCGTGGAGCTAATGACGCCGCGGCTGCGGTAAGAGGTCCTTCAGCAGTGGCCTGTCGCTGCTGGGCACGGCATCCACGGGTGCTCTGTGCTGCATGCTCCTCTGCAAGGCGAGGAAAGACATGACGCCGCGGCCTCCGGGGGGAGGGCTACACCCTCTGGGGGAGGGCTGCGGGTGGCCCTGCGCATCCTGGGCCCTCTGCCAGGGAAAGGCACCGAGCGCACCGTGCAACTCCTTCGGAGCCAGAGGTGGCCCCAGGGCTGCCGCTGGCAGAGTGTGGTGGCAGAGCAGGACGGGAGACTGCACAGGCCACCACAGTCGGTCTCAAGGTCCTGCTCCTACAAGACAGCTCATGGGTGCTTCCAGAACCCACGCTGCACCTGCCTGCTCCCACAGCGTCCCTGCTGCTTCCTCAGCAGAGAGAGGCACTGCCAAGAACTGCCAGGGGGCCGAGGGCATGCCTCCACCTGTCCCATCGCCTCGGCATCTTGGCGCCTCCCACTCCAGGTCAAGAGCCCGCGTCTGGGACGATTTTGCACCCAGTCTTGCTAGCTCCTCGGAGATGAGGAAACGGGCGTTCGAGAGTCAAGAACCACAAGGTCTGAAGGCAGGAGTCCAGGCAGAAGAGTGAACAAAGGAAGGACTGCCGCCCCTCACAGGCGAGGGATGCAGAACGAACCCTGGGACGGTGCAGAGGCAGTGCCACACGGGCACGTGCGCAGTGCACGTCACTACGCAGAGTGTGCCAGCTGGGTGCTCCACACAGGGACATGGGAGAGGAACCACCTGTCTGCAGGGCCAGCAGAATGAATGTTGGTTCCTCCAAAGTTTTGCAGGATGGCGTGGTGTCATGGCAACAGAGTGCTCCTCTTTGTGGCCAGGAGTGGGTGCGGCAGGGGTTGTGCCAGGTGAGGGTGCCTGGCCGGAGTCTGGCCCTTGCTTGTGCTCTGAAGCAACTCGCTCCTAACCAGCTGCGTGGACAGCTGGGACAGCCGAGTCTGAGTTGGCCTGATCTAGCTAGTTTTGTAGTCCCCTCCTGTGACTCGCTGTAGTGTCCCTAATAATGTCATCTGAAATGCTGTCAAGTATGTAGAATGTGAGCTGCAATCATGTCATTTGTTTTAACAAAGTGTGACATGACCCAATTAGAAAAACTTCGTTTGCCATTATTTACTTGACCTTAAAAAATGTAACAGCTGAAAGTGTGTAAAAGATGAACTGTCACTAAGAGGAAAGAGACCTTTTCCTTGCCGTGGGATCTCCCACCTGAGCCAGGGCAGGGGTGGGGCCCCGGCCGTCCTGACTGTCTCTGGTTTGAGGCAAACACAGACGCTGCTCGGCTTGCTGACACCTGGGCTCTGGAGGCAAAGGCCTTGGCCAGTGCAGCTGACCGAGAAAGCCACGTAAACGGCCTGCTGAAAAGGCCAGTGCTCAGTAGAGCACACGAGAGGCTTTCTCTGGAACAATCAGGCCTTTAAAAAAATGAGGAATTTGATAAAGACGTCCAGCATCAGCACGGCTGTGCCCTGTGACCCTGAGCAAACCGCTCATCCTGCCTCCCTCAGTTTCCCCACAGCTGTGTGGGAGGAGGTCTTCTGTCCATCCCCCAGGGGCCAAGGAGGGCAGGGCCATGCTGAGACAGTCTGAGGAGCGTCTGGGTGGCTGGTGCTGAGTGGCTGTATCTGAGAACAAGCGTGGACCCTGCCACTGCTAAGGACCCCAGGCAGGCCAGCGGGTTGTGCTGGGGGGAGATACAGCTCACGGTCAGCAAGTCACCGTGCTTCCTAACGTGCTGGCTGGCCTTGACACCAAATTCACCCCGCGTCCTGTGGCCATGATCCCAAGCATGCAAAAGGCAGAGAAGGTCACCTGTTGGTCAGAAACTCAGACCGCTGGAGGTCTGGGAAAGCATAAAGACGGTGGGCTGCTCAACAGAAAGGCACTGGTTCCTAGCCTGCCCGTCCCGCGGTCCGGAGCCCACACACGGGAGAGGTTTGGACAGGGAGTGGTTATGGAGGCAAAGCAGGCAGAGAAGGGAGGGTGAGGGAAGGAGAGACAAGAGAGCGGTGAGTTGGTTACAGCACACGAGTCCCGTACGCTCGGCCCAGCAGCCGACCTGAGCTGCAGGGCCGGCCGACGCCCGCGCCTCCTGCCTCACGCCTCCTGTGCGGGTTCAGGTTGCTTTCAGTTGGGTGCTCCTCATGGGCCAAGAGGCCACTGCAGCCCTGCCACTGCTGGCTGAGGAGGTGGGAAGGTCCTCCAGCAGGCGGTGCCTGCCAACTCTGCCCGACTAGGTGTGTCCAGCCAAGCACCTCAATGTCCGCCAGCACCTGCGGGCCAGGCGGCATAGCTGGGGACCCAGAGGACACTGACTGGAGCCTGCTCTCTCGTGGTCAGCCTGCATCTGCTGTTTCCCCTATGCATGGACATGTGTGTCCACCACACGCTCTGTGCGGGGTGTCGTCACGAGCACACGTGCCCCTGCATGGGACCATCAGGGACATGTGTGTCTCAGAGCACCACTGCTCGAGACCCGAGCTCGGCTCCCATCCAAGGGCAGTGCCTCTGGGAGGACACATGGCCTCAGTGTGGACAGCCATTGTGCTTCTCCTCCCATGAGCCGGAGGGTCCAGGCCCTGTGTTCTGGTGTTGGAGGTGGCTTTGTCTCGGAGATACTGAGGTGATACCACAGCCTGTGCGTGTGAGCTGGACCCCAAACCCCTCCAGGTCCTGGAGTGGCCCTCCCTACATCCTCACTGATAGGCCACAGACCTACACGGCTCGCAGGACGCCCACCACTGCTGGGCAGAGGCCCCTGTCATGGCTGTTGGCACTGACGTCACCCAGGGCGGCAGGAGGCACAGAGGAGGGAGGCCTGGGCTGGTGGCATTGGTCTCAACGTGTTAAGATAGCAGAGTCCTGGGAAGGTTCACAATCAGGGCCCCTTCAACTGCTGGGCTCCGAGGTGGGCAGGGCTGGCCTATTTCCCATCCCAAGTAGGGCCGCTGGCACCCCTGGGGGTGGGCATCTGGGCCGTGGAGGGCTGTGGGGGACCGCGGGCCAGGCCGCTGTGCGTTCCTCTGCCGTGCACCTCTCTGTGCCATGAGCTCTGCTCCCCGCCAAGGAGCTGTCTTGCCCTACCACGGCACAAGAATCATTGGGGGCCCGGGGGAGCCTGTCCCAGGGCCCACCTCACAGAGGTGAGAAAGTTGCAGGGAGGTAACTTGAAAATCTGTATTTTTAATGACTCCCAAGGGACTGTGACCCAGCTGGCCCCTAACTGAGGGTTACCTTCTGCCCTCACTGATGGCTGGGGTCCTGGAGAGGCTGCACAGGTATGGGGCTTGGTGCCTCCCACCCTCCCGCAGTCCCAGGGAAGAGGCCAGTGCTGAGGTTACTCTGGAGGGGGACAGAGGCTGAGTCCTGAGCTCAGCTTCCTTTCTGAACCCACAATTCTGCGTGTCGGCCAGTTTGGGAGTGTGGAGAAAAGGTAGCCCATCACCCAGCAATCCTTCATACAACGTCAACATGTTGAGCCAAATCCACCTTAAAAATGTAATCTAACCTCTAAAGTAATGATTAAATTCAAATTTCTGTGGATTTACAGAAGATAGTTTATCTTTTCTATTAATCTTTGTTCTCTTTCTTCTCTCAGCTGATTGTTTAGGTCAAATCATCAAATTATACATTGATCATCTTGAATTTTTCCTAATTTAAAGTTTGAAATCATGCATCATTATGAAGCTGATTGGCAAGATCTGGGCTGACCTCTGAACAATCCTGCTACTAACACGTCCCAATCGTAAAGCCAGGGTCGCGTACCGGCCTGGGTGGACTCCGTACCTGGGTCCTTTCCGTCGCTGTCGGCCACAGCTGCCTGCACAGGACTTTCTTGAGGACATCCGGGAGGAGGCTGACGGTGATGAGCAGGATGATGCCCAGCCAGGCGGGCCCACTGGACAGCATGTGCATGAACACGTAGTACATCCTCTGATAACTGAGGAATGGCCTGCAGGCAGGGGACACAGCCAGGGCCGTCAGCCCTCTGGGAGGGACACATGGGTCCCAGCGGTTTCCCACGCCTGATGAGGAGCTCGTTTGCTCTGGAGAGTCCGGCTCCTGCTGTGGACAGCACTGGGCAGGGCACCAGCTGCCCGCTCTGGAGTGCTCACGCGAGAGCAAATAGGGCAGGACCTTCCACAGCACAGGGTCCTGGTGGGAGGGAGGGCCATCCCAGAGGGAGCCAGAAGCCCCTGAAGTTCAGCTTCAGGACAGCAGAAGAAACAAGAGCAGAGTGGCGACCCCTGGGCCTGGACACAGCCTGCCCCTCACCACAGAGGTGGGGCAGCCCTGAGCAGAAGAGCTCCTGCCACAAGACTCAGCACGGGACGACGCTGGATGTCGGGGTGACCCTGGGCGTCTGCAGGTGGAGTACAGGGACTGAGCACCCACTGGCCAGCCCGTCTGGGCCCTGCTTTCAGGTGGTGTGTGTCCTGCTCTGTGGTGCAGGTGCCGCGAGCGGGAAAGGGAGAGGCAGAGCCCACCTCCAGCTAAAGCCGATGGGCACCTCAGGTGGCAGTGCTGCAGGTGACAGGGGACAGAGTGGAGTCCTAGGGCACAGAAGCTGCTGGAAAGGCCGGGGTGGGCAGGGCCTGTGCCAAAAGGCAGGAAGTGAGTGATGCGGGAGCAGAACCCAGTTTCAGGCGCACTCCAGCGGAGGCACCCTCTTCCTCCACCCGAGGCCCGCTGAACTCTGGCCCGGCTCTGGAGGGCTGCTGGAGACCCTCCCCAGCCCACTGCTCGCTCCGCCACTGGATCAGGAGCCTGTGCTGCCAGGAAGGAGGGGCTGGGACAGAGACTACAGCTCCTGGGCAGCAGATGTGGACCAAGGGGGCTCTTGGCCTCCCAGTGAGGCCAGCTGCCCAGGGGAGGGGGCTGTGCAGCGTGGCCATCTTTCCCTGCTGCTACGGCTGACCCCTCTACCCGCTCACTCCCCTGCGGCCGCCTCAGCTGCAGTGACACTCCCTCCCCCGGCAGCCAGGGATCTGGACCCCAACTGCCTGACTTCCCTGGGGCGACAGGAGCCGCCTGTCACTTGTGTGCACAGCGTGTGACGTGGTGGGACTTGCACACAGCCTCTTGTGTTGAGCAGTCCCTGAGCGAGGCCATGTGGCGGTGTGCACTCTTCTGGGCTCAGGGTAGGTCACAACAGCATGGGGAAGTCACCTCTGCCCTCCAGGGCACAATAGGGCCCTGCCTGCTGCAGCGCTGGCCTGTCCCCACAGAGCCTGTCACAGCCCCATGACTCACTCGCCAGGTCTGCGTATCCTGCCACCAGAGTGTGCAGTGTGCTGTCCTTCTGCGTGCCAGGGCCCTGGGTTCAACGTGTCCCCAGGGCTCATGTGGAGTCTCAACGCCACTCCCGACAAGGGCTGTGGCAGAAGGGCCTGGGGAAGTGGTCAGGCCATGAGCAAGGCACTTCACGGTGGCATCAGTTGCTTTATGAGAGGACAGTCCAGTGGGCATGCTCGCCCTGTCTTGCCCTGTGAGGATTCCAGTGTCACAAGACCCTTGCCAGAGTCCAGCATAAGCTCAGGGACTTCCAGTCTCCAGGGCCACGAGTCCAGACAACCTCCACTGTTTGCAAATCACTCAGCCTGTGACAGCAGCAGAATGTGCACTGGACACCTGGATGCAGACAGGCCCACAGCCGTGCAGGAGGTGAAGGGGACTCACGCCCTGAGCCTGGGGAGACGCGGGTGGCCATGGTGCGTCAATGTGTTCATCAGTTCTTACCAGATGATGCCTCCCCAGAGCAGGGAAAAGACAATGTAGAACAGCAGCGACCCCCAGATGACAAAGTGGTTGATCCAAGTCCAGTAGTGTGTGTCCAGAGCCAGCTGCGAGGGAAGAGGGAGGTCAACAGCATGAGGGAGGCAGAAGGCCGTGCAGGACGGAGCTGCACAGAACCCAACGGGGGCTGAGACCTCCTGAAGCTCCCTAGGAAGACCCGAACCACTCCTCACTTCAGCTGAGAAGGAAAGGCCACCCGCCAGCCTGCCACCAGCTCCCGGCTCCTTGTCCCAGCCCTGCCACCAGCTCATCCACCCCAGCCCTGTCACCAGCTCCCGGCTCACCCACCCCAGCCCTGCCACCAGCTCCTGGCTCACCCACCCCAGCCCTGCCACCAGCTCACCCACCCCAGCCCTGCCACCAGCTCCCAGCTCACCTACC